GCCTACGAATCCCTTTAACGTCCCGTGGCACCGCCATTCGTGTGATTGCCTCCACCTTTGCCGCATCCGGTCTGACCCCCTCGCTAGAAATAGTGTGGCCTAAAAAATTGATCCGCGTTTGTCCCAACAGGGACTTCTCGCTTGACAGTTTCAGCCCGAATTGTCGCAGCCTTTCGAATACCGACCTCAAATGCCCCACGTGTTCGGCTTCCGTTCTGCTAAAAATCAGCAGGTCGTCCATATATACTTGACATACGGAGTCGTCGATACCCCTCAAAAATTCGTCCATCAGGCGTTGAAACGTTATGGGCGCATTCTTCAGACCAAACGGCATTCTGGTGAATTCGTAATGCCCCCTTTCGAATGTAAACGCCGTTTTATGTTGATCCTTCGGGTGCATCCGTATTTGGTGATATCCCGCCTTGAGGTCCAACGTGCTAAACACCACAGCCCCACTCAACCTATCGAGTATATCTTCGAATCTGGGGATCGGGTACTTTTCGTCTACCGTGTTGTCGTTCAACTTACGATAGTCCACTACCACTCTGTATTTTTCCTTATTATCCCCCGGCGCTGCCTTCTTTTTCACCGCCCACAGGGGACTATTAAATGGCGAGGTGCTATCGACTATGATCCCTTGCTCCTTTAGGCTTTCCAATTCCTCCCGAATATGCTGCCTCAGCGCCTGCGGGTATCTCCTTTCCTTTACGTAGGTTACCCTATCTTGCTTCAGTGGAACTTCGTGTACCGTCTTCCCTGTTACCCCCAATACCTCGCCCTCTCTGAAGAAAATATCTACGAACTCCGCTTGTAACGCCTTCCTCCAGTCCTCCACCCTGTTCACCGCTCCTATCCGCACCCTTCTTTCTCTCGCGACCCCTATACATCCAAATTTCCTCTTTCCCAGCCTAATACTCCAAGCTCCTCTACGGTTTCTAATGCTTACCCCTACCTGTCCTAACAGATCACACCCTATTATGACTTGGTACTCCCGTGTCATGCTCTCTACCACATGCACCTTTAGCTCACCCTTTTTCCCTGCCCACCGATCAAGCGTAATTGTCGCTTCCCCTTCTACCTTACAGGGACCACCCAGAGTGATTAGCTGGCAGCCACAGTTTTGTATCCGGAGTACCCTCTCGCTCCCGCACACTTTCCCCAACGCCCCCCGAGTCAAGATAGTACTCGAGCTCCCTGTGTCCACGAGACACTTCACTCCCCCGTCTACTTCAATAATCGGCAACCAGCATGGCTTACCTCTAATACTGTTGCAGGTTGCTGTGCGGTCGCCTCTCTGCTGACACCCTCCTCAGATGCCGCCTCGCTTCCTCCTTACCGCCGTCGCTCGTCGTTGCTCGCTCTGTTGGCTGCTCCTGCCTCCTTCGCCTCCACTGCTGGCTGGTTCATCAGTCTCCGTTCCCGACGTCCCGACTCCTCGGTTGCCTCTTCCGAAGATCCGTCTCTCTGCTGCATCCTAGCTCGTCTTTTCAACTTTTGAGCGTTCACCTCCATTGGCTCGTCTAAAGGTCTCTCTCTCCTGCGAAACATGTAGGGGCACTGTCTGGCAATATGCCCTTCGGTCCCGCATTCGAAACATCTAGTGCGCGGACATTGTGCTACCAAATGTCCTGGTTTCCCGCACCCGTGACATTTTCTGTCTTCCCTCCGGGGTCCATTCCTAGGCCTGGACTGTCCGGATCTTCTCTCGCCCGTCGTGGCTTTTTCTCCGTTCGGGTGTTTCATTTCCCTCTTCTTCCACCCTATCTGGGCTGTCCGGGGTCGTCTGTCACTCACTCGGGTCCACCCTGGTTCCTCTACTTCCATCCGAGTCTCTTCCTCTCTTGCACTCAGATCTATCATTTCTTGGGCACACTCGAGGAACGATCGCTCTCTAGGCAGTCCGTCCCTCCTCCCAGTCTCCTTAGCCAACTGAACCTTGAGTATTGTCGAAAGGAATTCCATCCTAGCTTCGACCTCTCCCACACTCATGGTTTCACGCATTTTCTCAGTTATGCGGTTGTACTTCGCCACTAGTACCCCCGCATACTGTCCTCTTGTCTGGCGTTGGGACCGACGCTCCCTGAACATTTGAAAGGTATCTTCTTCCGGCGTCCATCGGCCCCCTCCGAAAGCCTTCTTCAAACGCTCCTTGATCACTGGCCATGGTGTCTCCTCGTCCGCTTGGATTTGGTTGAGGATATTCCTCCTCACTCGGCACACGAGAGCTGCCTTCAGTGCTTCCGCGTCTCCCAGGTTCACAAGGTCCTCCGCCACCTTTGCTTTTCTTGACATGAGGCGGTCTCCACCTTTCAAGAAGTGATTAAGCTCACCTATCTCGCCCCCGAATCGTTCCAGGTCTGCGATTGCTCTCCGTAGATCCTGCGTGGTCGCTGCCCTTATCTTCATCCACTCCAATGCATTGGCGTGCGCCTCGGCCAATGTGTCCCTAGGTAAGGGAGGGATCTCCTGTATCTGAGGTATCTGCGGTACTTGAGGTATCTGAGGAATCTGAGGAACCTGAGGGGCGATCTGAGGAATCTGCGCTATCGGCATTTCCTGAGGTTGCGGAATTTCAGGTGCGTTCAACACTCCTGGTCGAATCAAGCCCTCTGTCGGCATCTCGCCTTTTCCTTATGACTAGGAGAAGAGAAAAAAAAATGAAAAGAAAGAAGAAAAAAAATTTTACTTCCGTGTTCTCCTGACGTTGTCCCGGGTTTCGGCACCAGTTAAGCGTCGGCGGGCTTTGAAAATAAAAAAAAAGAAGGAAAAAGGATCGAGAAAGAACACTCACGGCTTCTGAATAAACACTGCTTTATTCGTTCAATAATCTGCCTTATATACAATTGTTATGTTTATTTACATTACAAGATGGTATTAAGGCTGATATCGCCAGTCTCCGGTCTTTATATATATATATATATATATATCCCATGGCCCTGAAGAAACTACAATACCAGAACAGAATACTCATGAAGATCTGCAAAGGGCCAACACTAGAAAGATGAAACATGAAACTCATTCATAACGAACTACAGCTCGACTCTATCCAGCTACATATATCAAGAAGGCACATTAAATTCTTCGATAACCTCCCCGCATCCTTTAACCCATTATTCCGATCCATCACTCCATCTCCCCTCCCTGTCAGATGGCAAGGCCGTAAGGGTCCCATAAACTCCATCAAGATAATCATTTAATCCGGCTTACAGTCCTTCCCCACCTCAGTCCCTTATCCTCATCTCTATACCTCACCTCTTCCTACCTTCATATTGTATATATTGCTTTATTTACATATTATTTTGTCATTCATCGAGCGGAGGACCCTAAACTCCAAAAATTTAAACAGGACCTGTAAATAGACAGGAAAAGATATCATTTTCAATCAATACAACGCACCTTCAAATACCACAGGTAGAAAAAGGTTAACGTAAATCAGATTATCGTTCCATCACTAAGTAATGGTGCGAATATGATAGTTATTTAATGTATATTTGTTTCAGAGGGGACAGAAAAAAAAAGAACTAACAATGATTATCGGTAGATTGAAATGATATTCTGTACATCGATAATTCTCATATCTTGTCTAATCTAGACTTTAAAAAAAAAAAACTTCTCTCCGTGGTACATGTCGAAAATTTGAAAGCGAAATAAAAATAATTCTCGAAGAATATTTTGCAAATAAGTCTGAACAATTTTAGAAACTGTATAAGACGCTCCTTGAAAGATGAAAGGCAATAGAGGAGAATTAATTAGTGGTTCATATATAAAACAGTAAATCAACCATAATAACAAATAAAGAAAAAGGAGAGACCTTATGGGACATCCTAATATTTACCAATGAAAAGAAACAAAAATACCTACCATGAAATATGAATAAATATAGTGGCCTTTTTTATTAGTGATAATCTTGTAGAACTAAAAATATTTCATGACTCTTCATTATTTATTATAATCAAATAAATAATTAAAATACAGTCGTAAAAAAAAGAAATGGTTAGCGATTAGGGATGGGCAGTACTCAATTACTTTCATGATTTAAGTACTTTTATTAGGAAAAAGTAACGAGTAGATTCTGCACTCTTCATGACCTCGGGGAGTTGTAAGAGTACTTACGTAGCATTAATCATACGTTGGTTAAGTATTGAAAGTACTCGCAGTGTTATATCTGATTACAGAAAGTACTCAGCCAAATTCCTTTGTGTAATTTTTACTTATCAACTATTACATAATTATTACGAATATAGATTTTTTTTTTTAAATCCTTCAATAATGGTGTCCATATTGGGGTTATGTAAGATCCACTTAATCGATATTAAGATCCACTATTATGTTATCGAGGATGTTTTTTATGAAAACACTGTCGGACTACTGTCGGAACACTGTAACTTTCCGATTTAATCGACATAAAGTACTGCTATTAAGTTGTCTCATTGGATTCTCAAATCCAATAGTATTTTCATAAAAAGCGTTTCTGAAAATATAATAATGGATCTTCATATCTATTAAATCCGAAAAGATACAAAAACTTGATACGCATTGCGCGTTTTTCTAACTCAGGGGTCTGTGACCCGATTGCAATACTTTCCTTACCTAGTATAGGTTGAAAAAAATTACATATAGGGGAAATACGTGTACCTTGGGTCTTCTTAAGAATAAGAAATCTCACTGGGGAATATTCAAGATTTGTGGCAACATTGAATAGGCTCCACTGGCCGAACACCAGTACCTTTGGGCCAGCCCGAGGTACATTCATGTAATTTCAAAATAGGTTTCTTGTGGGAAAAAATCCTTGATTCATTGTGTTTTGAAGAATTTTAAAGTGTAATTTATTTATTATTTTCATTCAACGGATGATTTAAAAAATAGTTTACTAGTATGGAAAAGTCAAGATGGTATTGAGAGGGCGGAAATAGAAATACCAGCTGCTAAGATTGAAAAAATCTTTTCAGTTGTACCAAAATGTATCCCTTTATTCATCATATAATATATTTGAATAAATATGACAAAGTAAAAAATTGTAGCCATGACAGAATTTCAAAGACGATTTTGTCCTTTATATGGTTTCAAGAACTAGATGAATGTGAAGTACAAGATATAGGAATTGATTTCTTCCACCAATATTAGATGGAAGGCGTAGTAGATTATTATTCTATGTTCCTTTTTTAAATGGTCAATGAGCCAAATATTTTTTATGTTATTATTAAATGCAGTTTTACAATTATTTTAGCGATGCCCATTATTCAATAATAATTATAATTCCAATTATAACAATTATTGACCAAGATACAATATAGGGTGGCCTAAGATAAAATATTAACTGTACCTTGGGTGATTTATAATTTTTAAAAATGATTTTTTTATAGTCAAAATTTGATGAAGAAATAACTTAAAAGTTAATATAGTATCTTCAAAACATGAAAAATAAAACTGTACGTTGAACTTTTAAAAGTCATTGTTATTTTAGAAGTTACAGAGTTTTGAAAAAAAGTTACCCAACGTACACATAATACTCCACAATGAAAAAGCTATTGCAATTGCGGAAACAATAATATTTTAAATTTATTTAACTTACATCTAAATTATGGTAGATTTGTAGGAATGTAATAGTTTAATAAATGATGAGAGAAAAAAGTTATTTGTGTAACATTAACAATAATTAATGTAACATTAACAACTTAAGTATACTCATAGTAAATAATTTATTATAAGAATAAGAATTCCGCCATGGCTGGTTCCAAGCCCAGTTAAGAAAAGAGGAGAGTCCATCCTCTGTAGCCTGAAGGAATGCAAACCAACAGCACCATCTCAGGTCAGTACCTCACTTTTTAAGACCTAAGCAGTGAAGCAGAGGAAAATTTACCAGAAAACTTGAAGAAGGCAAACCCTCCATCAGGCTTTGGATGTGGCAGACTGATACTCTGTCAATTTGACATTTATTATATGAAAAGAGAGTAGGAGAAAACAGCTGGTACAGGACCGGGATATGTGGATCAAGCTCTATTGAAAGGTCAACCTCACTCTGTATTTCAGGAAAAATGGAAGACCAAGAAGAAGAAGAAGAAGAAGAATTAAGATAAAAAAGTATTTTTTATATATTTCTATGGTTATAAGCTTTTGAAAATTAGCAACAAAAGCCTAAACCATTAAATGATTAAAGAATTTTAAAAACTAATAAGAAGATTTTATTAATTCTTCCTATCATTTAATCATGTAATAGCTATTACCAAAGATCCAATCACATTAAAAGTATCTTCAAAATCTTCAGAATATTAAAGTAGTTATCAAAAAATCCAATAATAAGTGTGAATAATAATTACTAATTTTTTTTTATATATGAATGTTCTTTCTATTTCAAAAATCAGAGTGCGAATAATGATATAATACCTTGGTTAGATTTACTATTAACTTAAATTATTTTGTGAATAAGAATAAAACATAAAATTCACCAATTTTCACTTATTTTTAAAGTTAATAATTATCTTCCCAAGTATCATGTACCCTTTACCCTAGAACGACACACTTAAATACCTCAACTCATTCTGACACTCTGATGTGTGGTATACCCCAAACTTCAAATTATCATAAAATTTAATTGTCATGCTCTGGAAAACTGAAATACTTTTTCAAAAATAAGCTAAATTATCAGGAAAAAAAATCAAGATAACTTTTGAGAATATATTTTATCTGCTCACATAAAGTAAAAAGTTAACATTTATATCACTAAAAAATCAAAAAGGATCAATTTTTTCGATTCAAAATGCATTAAGTTCATATCAATTAAATACATACATAATAAGAGGGAAAACATTTTTGTACTTAAAAATACAATAAAGCCCATACTGGAGGCCATTTTAATTTTATTATCTCTTTTTATATATACTCTTCATCAAAAGTTAACGTGAAGACTCCCCTCTCTCCCTAGTGAAGACTTTAAAAATAATAACGCATCGCTGTTGAATCTATGAACTCCAGCAATGCCTGTCTCCACTTGTTAACATAACACGATAATATTCAATATATGAATCTTTTTTTTGAATTGATTCTTTTTATATGTACAATGTATAAATACATAAACTTAATGCCAGTAGTCATGCCGCATTTATGAAAATCTTAGTAGGGAACTGTACCATATCACAATTTCAACAGCTTGGTGTTAGGTGTTTGGTAGTTAGGTGCAGGCACACACCTGAAGCAGCACAACTGTTTCTTATTTAATATCTACTTGTAATTCATTTATTTTATTTTCACCATGTACTTTTTATATTTTGTATCCTTTGTAGCTCTGATGAAGACCTGCAAGATTGGGTCGAAATGTCGGCCAAACAATTAAAAATACTATTTTTTAAAAAGATTTGTATTTATTTGACCGCAACTTCCCTCCCCCTCCACTCTCCCCTCCTCTCCTCCTCCCCTCCCCCGACCAACTCCTTCTCTAAAATGTTAAATTGTAAGATTGGCAGAAAGCAGAAAGTTATTTGATTATAGCTTGATAAGCCTGTTATCAAGCTTAAAAATAATGGGATATATAAAGTTTTTCATAAACTTCCTGACTCTGAATTTTGTTATGTTTCAAGGCTCAAATAATCCATGATAGAAGAAAATTACTCCATGATAGTGATGTCACTTTGCATAGGTATTAGGCATAGAGTATGTACATTCTATTCTCTGTGGTATCAGGTAATAGCAATAATGGAGATTTGAATTTAAAAATAAATTTTTCTTGTTTTTAAGCATAGATTAAACATAGGAAAGTGGGTATGAGTAAAATATTGTTTACATTGTACAGTTTTAATTACACTAAGATGATTCTTGATTTAATTACATTAAATGATGATGAGAATAAATTAATAATGAAACTGTAAAAAGGAATACTTAGATTATTCAGTAGACCATATTTTTTTTTTCTCATCAAACTTAAATCCGCACCTATCATTAGTTTGACAATGGCATTATATGCATGAGGAAGGATAGTACGCAGCAGTATCTCTTCTGGGTCTTTTTTTACTTCCTTGATTCAGGAAAGGAAGATCTCTCATTCAGCACCTTTTTAGTCGTCTCCTAATAGGCATGTCAATTTTGACCATAAATGACAATAAATAACTGGTTTATTTAACATTACCTTATGGGATGGATATAAGTATGTCATAATAAATAAAAATTTAGACAGATTAGTGAAATTGGTTTTTATTATAATAAGGTATGCAAATGGATAAATATAAACTTGTGAATAGAAAAATAATAATTGTAACAGGACTTCTGTAGAACATTAAAGCATCACTTTATTTATGTAACAATCGTCCTATATTTATGCTGTTTAAGAGTGTGTTGGCGGGTAAGTAAGTGCAGTACAAATAGAATATGAATAATTCTTGATTTATCTTTTTTAATCCTTTCAGTCAATATGACGTTAATGTATGCATCAGAAGATTTCATTACGACCAGTCTTAATTTGGTATCTCAATGGCGCAGCTGGTATTTTCTCTCATATCAGTATTAGTATTCAGTAAGAAATCATACTTTGTGTTTATGTCAACAGATATTGTGTGGGTTACCTTGAGGTTTCATCTTCATCACACAATGAATGGTTAGAGTTTTATGTTTTTTTAATGAGATTGGTTCCCATTTTAGAAGGTGAAATTAAAAGTGACGAAGGTCCACTAGGCATATGGATGCCAGGTGTCTTCACTTGTCTTAAGACCACAATCTAGAAATCTGGTATATCTAATTTGCCAGTGCTCTAGGTCATATTCCTACATCCTCTCTACAGTATGGTCCTTCGTCAGAGGCCCAGTTAACAGGAAAGTCTTTCATGAAATCCTTTCCAATAAAATTGAACTCCCAATAACCCTGAAACCACAGATGACCTTGACAATGCCATACGTTCCTTTACCACCACTATCCAACAAGCAATCTGGTTGGATCTTTCTACCCGAATCACCCTTAAAGAAGCTAAGAAAAATAATTTACTTAAACACATCATGAACGTAATCCGCACCGAACGCTGAGACAGACTATTATGGCCGATACCATACACCCCACCGACCACCGCTCCTATAATTATTACTGTAAAATATTAATGCAGGAATTGGCTTCCTCCAGATCCAAATCCTTCAATTCCTACCTTACTTCCGTCTCTGCTCAAGACAATTCCCTATGAAAGACCACTAAAAAAATCCTATAACCCCATCATATTTCACATTCTTCCCGTGAATTTGCCAAACACCTTTTCTTTATATTCACCTTTTATCCGGAATCCAAACCCACCAGACCATAACAGTTTTCTTTTTTTTTTTTTTTTTTTTTGGTCCTTCCCTTCCTCGCCGTTAAGGCTATACGGGATTATCCCGGGCCAGGGAGTGTGGGCGGGGATTTAAAAGACTCCTCCGGCACCGGGACGCGAACTCGTGACTATTTTTATATCTTTGATGCGTATATCTGGTTGCCGGGCAACAGCGGTGCAGTGCATAAACTTTAGCCCATTCGGCCACCCCGCCCACGAACTCATACTTTTTAATCTTCTCAAATCTCTTATCCGGTTGCCAGGCAACTCGCGGTGCAGTGCACACGCTTTAGCCCTTTCGGCCACCCCGCACCCCTCACACCATAACAGTTGAAGAATTTCTTATTTCACCCATCCTAGTCTATAGTTAATCCTTCTGAGGTCAAACATCATTTTCGAAACCTACTTCCCTGCCTCCCTCCCCCCCCCCCCCCCCCAAAAAATCTCCTGGATACGAGCTGCTTACCTCTCAGAACCTTCGACAACTTCCTCCCGAAGCTGTCATAATCCACAATTGGATATACAATAGCATCCTACAAACCACTCACTTTGTTCTTTTAAAGAAACATTCCACTATTATCCTATTTTCAAAACCAGGAAAACTTCCCAACAGCGTGGCATATTCCCAACAACTAGCCTACTTCCAATCCTTTCAAAAATCCTTGAAAAGATCCTCCTGTAACGAATCCTATCATTTATAGAATCCCAAAATTTTCTTCCTATCAGTTTGGATTTCGTTCGCAACCCTCCACAGTCCAACAGAGACTTCAAGTGATTGATCATATTTCCTCAGCTCGGGTGTATTTCTGGGCATAGCACAAACTTTTGACCGGGTATGGCACGCAGGGTTCCTTTCAAGGTTAAAGCCCATCTGTCCCAATCTTTAGTGACAGTTCATCTGTCTCCACTACTACCTCTCTGATCGCACTTTTCAAGTTCGCTGAAATACAGAATTTTCCAATTGCTATCTAGTTGAGGCCAGTGTTACTCATGGTAGCGTTTTGTGCCCCGTCCTTTATATCCTCTTTACCACTGATATCCTTGTCCATACCGATACCTTGTTGACATCATTTGCTGATAACACCGCCATCCGACTCACATACTGATCTAGCATCCTTCAACTTATATTGGACCTGTATTCCCCATCATACTACAATTTGGAGGTACTTCAATAGCTTCCACATATTAAATTATTTGTTAACATCATTCAAATTAAGCTCATATCATTTAAATAGCCATCATTATTAATGAGTTTCACCTTTTTATACAATGTAGACACCATTGTTGTATAAAAACCATTCATATAATTCTAAAAATTCTAAACCTTCCAGCAGTGTCAATTTTAAAATATTTATTGGGTGTCTTAAAATATATAGGCAGTTCTAAATTTCGAAACTGTGTAATAGAATGATTAACTTGAAATTGGAAGTTATAAAGAAGATGGAAAGAAATAGAAAGTGAAAATTGATGATTTTATTTTTATTGTTATTTACAAAAAAAATTAAGTTAATAATAAAACCTGGTTGTACAACCTAACAAATTTATTCACAGTAGGTATTTTTAAATAATGAGTCACCGCTCTTCATAAAAATAAAATATAGGAATTTTAACAGTCTAGAAATATTTAATAAGTAAATCAGTAATCAGAAGGTTTTGGTGACAGCTTTAGTGTGATTGGACCTTTGGTCATAGCTATAACACCAGAACCTCTAAACTCAAGCGGAACTTGCGTTTCTTCAGTCTTACATACTTCATAATTTTTCAATATCGTTATTAATCCTACTTTTGTTTGTATGAGTCCAAACCGAGAACCTAAAACAAATAAAAAAATAAATAAAATATGACAAATGACCTAAAAATATTATGTGATATTTGATAAAAAATGTTGTCAACTGTTGTTTGGTTGCTTTAAATTAAATGACTATTGTTTGTTCCAGAGACTGTAAAACGATATAGCAGTTCTTGTTAGTTCACTAAAATGTTTTTTTTTTATGTATAGCGAACAGTCATCATACGCTATTGAATATTTATTTATTTTAGGTTGATATTAGTTTTTTTAACCACTTTGTTATCCAAACTTTGTTAGTAGATATTCACAAGATGTATGTAAGTTTCTTTCGGGGCCATGTTCCTGCAGACACATTTAAATCTCCTTCACAGACTCGTCTCGTAACTTAACCCATTTCAAGTATTAAACGTTCAAACAATACGAATTCTTCGATTTTTAATAGTTTTTTATTGTACATTTTTAAGAAGATACTGTCTCATAAGTTGATCCACAGGAGAGGATTTTGTATATTTAAGTAGCTCCCATCTTACGTTTTATTAATTCCTAATTTTTTTTAAAAACCTGGATAGTAATCTTAGATGTTTAATTTTAATGATATTTTCTGGAAAACAAAATCATAGAATACTATTTTATTTTGATATATCGTCCACCGCTATTTCCCTCTTCGTTTTGTTTTTATACAAGAGTGAGGTGGGATCCCACCAAATGTGATGCATCTGCATGATGAAATCACGGTACAAGTAAAGAAATAGAAGAGATTGGCCCTCTGTTAATCTTGCTATCGTTTAAAAAATATAAATTACATTTCCACGAAAAATAAATGTCGAAATGTCCAAGTGCACTCAAATTGAATCTAGATCAAACATGTTTGCATTAGTTCGAGAGAATAAAATAGAGAAGAGTGAGGTTCCAGGAATGAGCTTCAAAACCTGCCCATTTAGACAAGGGAATCTGCTTGCAACGGTTTCATTCAACGAAGGGAGTTGGAGCTGGTTCTTACGCAATACATTCTATATGAAACAGGCAAGATGAGAGTATATATATTTTCAACAATCAGATTCATATATAATTTCTAGCGGTTTTCGAAAATGGTAGTTTTTATTTTTATTTTTAAATTAAAATATTAAAAAAACAAAGGGACGATATCTATAGTCGATAAGTAGATTATATCGATGGTAAAATATCGATATTTAATTATATCGATGGTAAAATATCTCTATTTTAATAATATCGACTTTCGATGGCCATCCCTACCACAGATAACGCACAGATGCACAGCACCGGAGAGAGGGAGGAATGGTGGAAGGGAAGGTCAAGGCAATGTCTGCTACCCCATCCCTCCCCTATATGTTAGAGGAGGGATGCAAGACCCTTATATATTTCGCGGTAATTTTGTTAAACATAGCCCAAAAATAGTTCGATAAAACATGTAGTTAATAATTTTATAATATTATAGATAATGAATTGATTTCTGAACTCCTCCTTTATTGTTTATGCAATTCGAACCCCTTCCTATCATCCTATGCATTCAACAATGTTATGAAGTTACACAAATATTTTCCATCTCCCAATATTTTCCAGAAGCCAGCCTGCGTTTATACTTAGTTCATATCTTTGTATCATTGTTAGTTTTTAATTTTAGTTTTTTAATTTTGTTTAGTTGTAATAGTTATTTTTCCTCCATTTATGCGAATATATTTGTTCTTAATAAAAATAGAGGGAAGATGTAATTTATTTGCCAAAACAATTAATAAAAATATTAAATCCACATTTCGCGACAAAGGTATAAGATTTTAAAATAATGATTCCAAGAAATTATTGGATAAAAACGATATAGAATACAACAAAATAAAACAAAATCAATTAATTGTATCCGTGATTCAAAATCACTGATATTGGCATTACTGAAAGTCATTTTTTTAGAATGAAATATTTATGATTCAAATATTTCGTCTCACATTTTTTTTTTGTTATGCTCGTTTCGACTTTTATAAACATTAGCCACTTTTTTTTGGAGGTACACAAACTTTAAAACAATCATATTGAAATATTAACAACAACATACAATTTTATTGACTTACTTTTTGGTTTATTCAATTCTGAATAAGAATGTCAATAAAATAAAATAAAGAAGTTATAACAGCTTTAAAGACGAAAAGTAAATCATTAATGTTGCTTGTATTTGAAACTTGAAAATATATTCTAAATAATTAAATAAGAACTGAAATTAGTTACCAATACAATTACGTGGTCCCTCACCAAACGGCATGTATGTGAATGGATTTATTTTATACTTATTCGTTTTTGAAAATCTTTCAGGATCAAACTTTTTCGGTTCAGGAAAATATTTCTCATCGCGTTGAAGTGAATAAAGAGGGATTATGATATCGTCTCCTTTCTTTATTTTCTGGCCTGATGGCGTCGTATAATCTTTTGTGCAATGTCTGTTCAAAGCTGGAAGTGTCGGATACATTCTCATTGTCTCTGAAATATAAAATATTGCATTTAGAATATAATTTTTATTAGTTATATCTTTATCTAAGTATAATATATCAGTTCTCCTCAATAAAGCAACCACTGTAAATAATAAAATATGAGTACAATTATTTAAATGTTAATTTAGTTTTGATGCAAATTGCACAATTAAATCAAACAATTTTTTGAGTGTGTTTTCTCGTTAAAAAATAATTAAATTATAAGATTTAAAATATTAATCATTGTCTAACCTTTAAATATTTTTGAACTCACTTAAAGATCATAATTGATTTGTAGTATTATTTATTCATATTATTAGTAAATGTAACGCAAAAGTACTGTTAATAACAACTTTCTGTTATGACTGTTACAGATTTTGTTCGTTGTGTCATAAATGTGATTTTCAGAAGTACCATATATACCATTAAAAATAAGTTCCAAATCTGTAATTATTTTTATGTCTGCTCTTGTTTCAACAGAGCTAGAATAATGAAAAATGATACAAAGACAACTAAACTAAAATAGAAATTGGCAACGTAATTTTTCAATGAAAAGGATGCGAATATTAACAACAAAAAATTACAAAAATAATAATAATTAAAATCTAGAACAGCAACATAAAAGATGTAAAAAATAAATTATGTTCCTAAATGGACAAAATACGTCAAATCAAATAATTAAATTATGCTATCGTCATGATTTAATGTGTGGTCTTTATAACCACAATAAATTACTTAATCAAAATATGATTATGAAAAAAAAACAAACTAAAAAGAAGCTTCTTCAGAATGTTTTATACTTTAAAACCATAAAATAACAAAACACTCAATGATCAATAATTTATCTTACATAAGAAAATTCTGGAGGCAATATTCATGTTTATTAATTTGAGATATTTTATTACAATGTTTCAAATAGATCAGTTAAAATTGCACTATAGTAAGATGGTAATGTTATATTAATTGTTAAATTTTATGACTACCACGAAACCAATTTACCTACGGATTAATCTCAACTAATAAAGAAATTAAAAATGGAAGTATAATATCCTTAATTTCAATTAATATGAATTTTCACAAATTAAAACAACAATATCTGGCCGCTATGCTTTCTATAATTAAATTATAAAAATTCTCGAGTATTTATCAACCATTATTACCTGAAACAACCATGTCAAGGTATTCCATTTCCTGAATTGCTTGATAGGTAATACCACCATGTTTGTTTATAGTAGCGTTGATTTCTTCCCTCAATTTTTTCTGAATTTCTGGGTTCAGGGCTAACTCGTACAGACAATAGCTTTGTACAGAACTAGAAGTTTCAAATCCCGCTACAAAAAATACAAAGCATTGTGCTGTCAGCATACCGAGATCCATTTCTGAAAAACATTTGAAAGAATTATAACAAGTTATATGCCTGGACGGATGTGTGTTTAATTTTTAATATGCCTTTATCAGTATGAAGTATCAGTGCAAATTAAGCCTGCTGAAAAATTCTACAACATCTCGAAAAAACTTGAAAATTTATTTAATGATGATAACGGGAAACTATAGGAATTAGGTCTTTATATTCTCGACTAATAAAATAATTTACTGGAAAATTATCAAAATTTTCGCCACTTCTGTTCATTTTTCATTTGGCCAATATCAATAAATTTAGTTGAAGAGTACCCACTTTAAAGAGATTAGACGTGCACACCAGGAATATCTTCCAACCTCACGTTGATCTACTACGTGTCATCAATATATAGAGAATGAAAAAATAATTACTGATAATAAAATAATTAAATAATAATTATCTGTCCCAGGCAGACTCGAACCTAGGACCGAGAGAACAGGAGCATGCTGCCTTAATTACTAAGCTCCTCCGCTCCCTATAGAGTTTAATATAATGTGTTTCACCTCTAATGTTAATAAATAAAATGTTTTAACTCACCCACTGGTTCAGCAGTGGTATCGTTTCCATTCTTTTTCACATCATCCTCAACTGATCCTTTATTTTTTAATTGAATTAATAAGTCTAAAAAGTCATTCCGTTTGATACCATTCGCCTCTCTATATGCAATAGTATCTCCAACCATCTTTATTAACGAGTCTTCGATTTCATTACTTACTATCCTGAAATTGTTATGTAAAGTAATAAGAATAAAAATAAAATCAAGTTTAAAATAAATAAATAAATATATATATTAGGAGGCTGGAGTAGCCTTGCGGGTTAAGGCGCTTGCAATAGGTAATCAAAGTTTAGCAACGCCGAGCGTGGCTCGTGGCTAGCTAGCACTTGGATAGGTGACCGTCCACCAAGGAAAGCCACGAGATTCTTCCCTCCCCCCGGGTATGTGAGGCCCGTCAGGCTACTGTAGGCAACTCACACTGACCGGGAGTATGATTGATGACCCTACCCTGTACTTTAAATCGGTAATCGGGATGTGGTCTTGGAGACCACACTCGCGGTCAAATATCTTCATGGTCTGTAACGCCAACCGAAAATATATATATTATATATAGTAAGAGAGAGGAAGTGGCGACTAACCCGATTCATACCTAATGGGTTCGATTACCACCTTGGTCGGTTAATGTTTATTTATCGGCGGTCCTGAAAAATGAATCTTAACCCTCCCATTCTGGCATGCAAGCGGTGGCTACCTAAAAATTACTCTTTTTATGCAAATATAAAAAGTTCTTTTTAAAATTGATGGTTCTGCAGGTAAGCAATTACCTCAAGTATTGCGGCACTGCCTTCCTTTCTCCCTCCCCCATCCTCAAGCGTTATCCATTATTAATCAATTGTTCTGGAAATAACAATTTTATTACTACCTCATAAGCAGCCATAGGCGCAGACTTCGAAGGAGGGGCGAAAAAGGGCCATCGCTCTCTCCATTCTCCTCTTGGTAATTTTAAGTAAATGGGCGTGTTTTGGGGTCTTGGGTACTCCAGCCACAATGACAATTTATATATGAGTGCTCTTGGGTATCTGGAGATACTTATCCCCTATAAAGAGTCTGAGACTTGACACAAGAGAAGGTTGGCTCTATTGTGAATCACTAGAGCGTACAAGAGTATCTCGTGTATCTCACGAGGTGGTTCAGGTCTTAGCCGGAACTATTCCAATCGATCTCCAACAGAGTGAAGACTATTTTCGTCATAATATGAAGGGAGAAGGATTGGTGAAAGGCTTATAGGTGAATCTCCGAATGAAGATCAGTGAAGACTCGAGCAAATGGAACAAGATGCCTCGGTAGAACACGTTAGAAGAATGGAATTGACGACGGGTGTAGACGCCAAAAAGGTACTACGCTAACTCCACAGTTCAAGAATGGAAAAGACATGAGTTCTTCCGGACTATTGGACCTCCCAATTCATCGGATGTTTCCGACAAAAAGTTCCTATGCCCAAGTTGCGGAGTGCCGGAGACCGCGTTGTATACCGTTCTTATATCGTTCTGTACCACCTTTGAGGTGCTGAGAGCAAAGTTACTGAGTGAGATAGGGCTCTGTGTTCTGGAGGTCTCCCTCAACTAAGGATCTATCAGAACTACCCGTATTACATAAAATATCAGATATCGATGTGGCATTATGCCGATAAAGCTCAAGAGTTCTGATAATCAACTTCTGCTTCAATGAAATATTTATTAACTACAAAAAATAATCGTTCAGTGTTTTCATACTTATAACAAAAAATTTATAACGCAATAGAAATTTGAGAAACCAATATGGCCATAGGAAAGCAAGGAACCTCGGATTAAATTTTCTCCAGCTCCCGTCAAATATTGAATTCACTACTGAATTCAATATAATATATGCAACAAAATGTTAGGTAAATATGTCACTATGAGATAAACGTCCAAAATCTAAACTTTTGATGGAAAATATTTTGTAGAAATATTAGTCATATCCAACATGGCTAATATAAGAAATATTAGAGATAAAGCTCAAGAGTTCTGATAATCAACTTCTGCTTCCATGAAATATTTATTAACTACAAAAAATAATCGTTCAGTGTTTTCATACTTATAACAAAAAAATTATAACGCAATAGAAATTTGGGAAACCATATTTTATGGCAGTAAAAAGCATGATAACGAATAAAAAGATTCCTAATATTCCTTCATATTTGATCTTATCATACTACTAACAGAAACTTTATAACGCATTAGAAATTTTCACTTTGAAAATTCATTGCATTTTTTATTATTTATGACTCCGTGTTCGTTATGTGGGTACTTTCTCAATCTTATTTTTCATGTTATTTTAATTTATTTTTTTTAGATAGGTTCAACTTAAACTGTTTCTGGCGATTTAGTCTTAAAATCATGTTCCAGTTGAATTATGAAAAAACCGATTAGAATTGGTTTAAATTGAAGTGGTGTTACAAAAATAGGCTTTTTCTCAACTTTTAAAAAATGGCAGATGTCAGATGTCCATCTTTGGTATGAAGCCACTCGTATAATTAAACGATGATACAACATGGTAACTGACTATTGAACACGTTAACCTCTAACATTAATTATAATAGTTCGTTATCTTTAATATACTTTAGTATCATAAATGCTGAGTTATTACCGTTTAACAAGCTATTGGTATTGAGGATATTCTTGGTTGATTAATTTATTTTTAATATTTTTTCGAAAGACGGTGTTTATTGATTGTAGTTAACTGAAGAATAAGGATGGGTTTAATTTCTTAGTAGTGTAAAAGAATTTCGTTAAAAAAATAATAATAATGAGTAAAACAACATTAAATTAAATTTAAATTCTGTTCATATTACTATTCATTAGCTACTATAATTAGGTATTGTTTTATTGAAATAGTATACCTCAATTTCAAGAGTTTAGCTATACCGGGGAATATATTCCGCAACATTCTCTTCAACAGCACCGTTTTAGATATTTCCAAGACAGTTTGTCCAAGTTTTCTCATTTTGTTCTCTTTCTCATTAATGCTGTTGTTTTCCCAGCCGAAGACACAATTGCACACTGTATCAGTTGTGTAACATGCTGTAATATCTTTTACATTCACGGGCTTATCTATTTGACTGATCAGCATTTTGCTGAGATCCTGAAATATATAAGTTTAACAGAAGATTAAAAAAAAAAACATATAGCTTTATAAACTTATGTTTATTTATTGTAATCCTATTATGTTTTATGACCGTTCCCATGGGTCCAGTTGATTCTTAACAGAAAAAACAGCTAAATATTGCAGCATTAACGTTCGTACAGGCTCCACAAGAGTTGGAAAGGAGGGCTACCATTGCTCCAAGCTTTGTAGAGGATTCAGCACGATCAACAAGGATTTATTATTACTGCTAAAATAATTTTAAGCATAATATTACATTTTATATAACGGAGTTTAAAAGATTTTTAGGTGTGCGTTAAATTTGGTTTTTAGTGATGAGATCACGTGATGTGGGGGAGTAATTGAAACGGTCTGAGAGGAGTAGTAATTTTGTCAGCATGTTCTGTATGATCCATAATAACAGTTTGTTTTATTTATCAGCTCTGGTTATGGTGATGTCATGGGATTTTAGGAAGGATCGGGTAAAGGAAAGGTCTTTGAAAAAATCAGAAGAAAATCAAGAAGAACCATTCTCCTTGGGTGTAAAAGATAATTGGAAATAATGTTGCAAATGGAAACGCATGGCAACTCCTCATTTTCTTTTGAAGCTGTGAAAAGATCATCTGCCTAAATATATTCAAGGTCTGAGATAAGTCGTTATGACAGAGGTGTTAGGTGTGGAAAAATATAGTCCTGAACTTAGGATTTTAATAACTTTGGAGGGAATGCCTACTGATGAGATATTATCGAACAATTCTTCTTTTTCTGCTGGATTAATTTTATTTGTAAGAGGAGCTTGGTACTGATTTGTGAATTTGGAAATCAGTAGTAGTTATACCCCTTTATGTGTTTAAAGAGAGGCTCAGCAAGCACTTCTCTAGGATACAGCCAGGATTACTAGAAAGTTCTTAAATATCTAAACAAATTATAACTGCTGGTGATTGGACTTCGCAAAAAGCGATAATAATAAAGAAAATAATAATAATTATAATATTAAAAGATTTGTAATCATGTTTATATTATTGCGAATTGTATGAATTTTGTAAAATTTAATAATTTGTGCAATATCCTCCATTATGTTACCTCTCTACAGTGATTGGGCATGCTGTTTATAATGTTTTCACTGATTTCATACCATTATAATAGCAATACTGCTCTCAGTTGCTGAAGGTTAAGAAGCAGCAGTTGGTGGTCAAGAAGCCTTCACAACAGTGTATCCCACATGTGCTCTATGGGATTGAGATCTGGAGAAAATATGGAAAGGGGCAGATGTGAAATGTTCAGAATTTCAAGACATTGATGAACAACTTTTCCCCTATGAGATTGCGTATTGTCGTCAAGAAATCTCAAGAAATGGTGTTTAAGTGGTTCTTGAAGTCCTATTAAATATAATTACACGAACAAGAATACTTCAAGAGATAGTTTTTAATATTTTTTTCTGTAAAACTTGGTTACATTTTACCATTTTGGAGGGGACTTCAGCCCGAAAGCCCCCTCCCCCCCCCCCCGTAGATCGCCTGTGTTGTCACGTGACCAGCCCATCTCAGTCATCCAAGCTTCATTCTCAGGACGACATCTTTATCATTAAAAATCGAGTAAATTTCGGCGTTTCTCCAACTCCAAGCCGGAGTTCTCTTCTTCTCCAATTTCCATTGATCTGTACTCCTCCAAATATTCTTCAAAGAATGTTTCTCTCAAAGATTATTCTCTCTTCTTTCTTTAAATTCTTCTTGGGACAGCCTTAACATATACTGAACAACACACCATAGTTTAGTCGAAAACTTTCGTCTTTTCATGGAAGCAACACGTCTCCCGAGTTTTTCACTGAACCATATCTACCCTTTCAATTCAATCGCCAACATTATCACTTCTCAATTAAAACCCGCCAATTCCTATACTCCATTCCATTTTGTTCCTTATTTTAACTACGACATCTGGTGAACTTGAAACAATACTTGGCTTAAGCAAGAAGTGCCTCTTGAACAAATTACTTAAATTTGTTTTCGGGATCGCCTGGGATAAGGGTATAACACCTAAACATGTTGAGCTAAAGTGGCTCAACCATTTTATAGATATTAGTATATTCTTTCGTCCTTCATATGCCAGATTATCAGAACTCTACGCTCCTCCTACATACTACAGCGCCTGCAATTTAAATCTTCCATCCGATCGGCTCCCACCCCGTCTCGTCTTTCTGACTTCCTCCCTCCTTCCCACCGAACTGCTCTAGAAATGTAATTCCTAATTCGAGCTTCCTCCTGATGGAATTCTTCCCCTGACTTCGGTCATTCTTCAACAGTCACCTCGTTCAAATATATCCTTTTCAATTACCTTTTTTTAAACCTGTATAAATAAAATTATTTTATATGAATTATATGATAATGTAATTCTTTAATTTCAAATGTTTCCCACATTACGTTCTTATGTTATTTTTCAGTTTTTTAAAAAATATAGTTGTATTCTTTTAGTTTCTTTATATTCTTTTATTTATCTTATTTTCATTCGTATTAACGAATAAAAAACAGTACAGTTACACTCTTTTAGCCACTTTTTGATGTTCATTTAATTTTGTTCTATAGGAACTTTGCAACAGAATAATAAAGAATTTTTATATTTCATTTCATTTGAAAAATAGAAATAGACTCTTACTTTTTAGTAGAAGAATACTCAGCACTTTTCAGAGGTTATTGAAAATCTTTCTCATTCGATTCCTGATAAGTGCTACATAACTATAAGTATAATGTTATTATATATTTATTGATCATGTATACTAAATCGAAAAACGACAACAGATTTTTTTAAAGTATTCAGCATCTGCTGTACTTTACGTTTACGATAATATAATATTATAAAATATATTAAAATTACCTCGGCACAGGCGATAAAAAGCGGGAACATCCCTTTCAGTTTCCCACTCGTAAATGTAGGGGTCAGTTTTATCCTCAATGCTCTCCATTTCTCTCCGCCCAGATTGAAAAGATGATGCTGAAGTTTATCCTCTTTAGAAGTGAAACTAAATGAAAATTATTCAAAGAAATTACAATATTATTACATTATAATATTATATTATCTATTTGAAATATAATGCATTATATATTTTCTCTGTTATTATTGATAACGGATTAAGAAAGCTTTAATTACGACTGAATAACCACTTCCTTTTTCTTTTGTAGAGTTAGTTTTGCGACTTATGGTGTACTATGGCATAAAATGATCTAGCTGGTTCCTCGATATTTTTATGATTTAATTACCAAAACGGCAGCAAATTAAGTGAATATCTATGCTCGGTGGATTTTGTATACTATTTTTTCAAATTTAAAAATAATTTTTAAAATTTAAATATTTCATGGATATGTGAAACATATATATGTATAACCTTTAAAAAATTTACCGTAGTTTAATAACTCTAGGTCCGATATTGTATTTACATAATTAGATATCTATGATCGATTAATTCTAAAAAATGATGGTGTAACATTTTAGTGAATATAATTAAAAAATAATTTGATGAGTTTCTTTCTGTGAACTCTCAACATCATGTGGAAACCTAGAAACTCCATTTTAGTAAACTTTATAATGGAAACAAATAAGAGTTTAATAACTAATAGTAGTATAATCCATAGTCAATTACAGGTTAAATATACAGATGTAATTTCAAATCTGTCTAGGCATTCATAGCTCAAAGACAGGAGTTATGTATGTGGTTTTCAAAAACTGATGGAGTTACGAGGTTTTTATTGCCTACCGTCGATATAATAATTAGGATTTGTTTTATTTTAATGGCTATGATAAGTTTTAGTTATTTAGCTGCATGTACTTTGGAAATGTTTAAAATGTACTTAAAAATTGTGTTAATTTCCCAAAATTTCCATAAAATAATTTCTATTCAATGTAGAGCAGCAAATAAAAGTTGTAATTTCGTGAGTTGTATCAGCCATGATTTTCCTTAATTACAAGAATTTAAATTATTTAGAGGAGTTAAATTTAAATTATGTAAAATAGAGTATCAAGAATTATATTTAAAACCCCTTATAACAATAACATTTCTTTCCTCTTTTCAAAAACTGTGAGTCAGTTTTTATATTAAAAAATCACCTTAATCAGTTATATTTTTGTTAGTATTATCGGTTATCTTTAATTTAACTTATGAATATTTGAATCACAAAATACTCATAAAAAATAGTACAAAATGAATCATCTACTTCAATTATAAATTAATTTTGATTCAGATTAATATTATTGTCAAGTGTATCATCGCTACTTCAGTAAATTTATGCTATAATTATAAAATGTGTATTTATGAATTATTTTTTTATTATTCACATATATTTAAAATTTTGAGTTATTTGATAGAATTGAACATTTTTCTTACACTCTAGCTGGAAAACGATCTCGGAAATGTGAAAAATCTTTAGCCATAATGAGCCTGATGATTTCGGGGTCCTTGACAACGAGGAGTGCCGATCTCAAGACATAAAATCCAAAATATGGCTGCGATTCGAACTTTTTGTACATCTGGAAGAGATAAAAATATTAAAATTATGTGACTTCTGTTTTTTTACAAACTCTAAATGTAATCTATGTTGAACAAACCTTATCTATGACCAGTGCCTGAGATTTATTCATGGTCACTAATTGTAACTTGTTGCCAAAGGGGAACCTCCCTGGCTCCGAAGCGATTCCCCGTGACTCCCAAAAGTTGTAAACGGACACATAGTATTTGTAGAACAGCCACAAGGGTATCAACAATCCAATCAGGATGGTTAGCATTTCTGAAATATTATAATTTTAATCAATATACCTATGTCTATTAATAAAAAAATATTAGTGGATACAGTTTTCGCGCCTCACGAGGCATCAACAATTGGATGTATTAATTGCTTTTAAGAGTGGAAGGTTATAGAAATATGGAGCATGCATTTTTTGAGATATAGACCTTTCGAGAAAAATACATTCGCTAATATGTAAGAGAAAGTAGTGGAACAAATTCAATGAAATTGATACAGCACCATTTAATTATCAATAGCACACTTTACCCCAGAGATGGGAAATGCCAAAGTGAGTAATGAGTCCTCAGTATTTTAATCAACTATTAACATTCCCATTCTGATTACGGTACTCAGATATTCAACTTGTTTATTACTCACATAGTCAACCGAACTCAAATAAAATGTTTATTCAAATTATAGAAAATTCCAAAAACTATTTACACACAATAGCTTCAACCCAAGTCTTTGAGTTAACTGTTCTCAGATATTAAAATAATTTATTATAAAGTTGCATAAGAATAATAAATTATACTTGATTAATAAATTTCAATTTTCAAACATGTTAATGGACAAACTATATGAATAGGATTGAATGAATAAGAAACATATTCCATTAGCACATCCATTAACGGACGGCTACATAAAGAAAATACAGATAAACACTGAAAAACTAAAATAAATCGAAACGCTGTGGCGCAATCACAAACTGGAGATCATATACAAAATGTAAGGCAACGAAACATATAAATAGGGCCTTATATGCAAGAAATCCGAAAAAACTCAAATATATCGAAACGCGGTGACGTTATCTGAAAATGGACATCGTTTTCAAAAATTGTGGCTTCGAAAACATATAAATAGAGCATCATATGGAATAAATCCGAAAAACTTAAAGAAGTAAAAACGCGGTGGCGTAATCTGAAAATGGACATCGTTTTCAAAAACTATAGCTCCGAAAACATATAAATAGAGCCTTATATGGAAGAAATACGAAAAACTAAAATAAATCAAAACGCGGTGGCGTAATCTCAAAATGGAAATTACTTTTAAAAAATCAAGTCTTTAAAAAACATATTATAAAACTGTATAAGAAAATTTCGAATAGATGTACGTATAATGGGAAGGTAATGTCGATATTATTTAAAACAGGAATTCAAAATTTATTATTTGTAATCAGTTAAACAATTAAAAGTCTATACTTAACAATATTTATGTAATTAGATCAATGGCACTTCTATTAATATAATTGAAATATTTAACTAAAGGCATATAGTACTTAAAATTAGAATTTATAACACCGTGAATAAAATACTCAAAGTGGCGCAGGTCAGCTATTTGAGTAAAATACTCAAAATTGGGCAGTTCATATTTAAGTAAAATACTTAGATTCCTGCAAGTCGAATATCTAATTACCGTAATCAGAATCGGGAGGTCAATAGTTGAGTAAAGTATTCGGGGACTCCGTACTCACTATCGCATTTATTTATGTAAGACATACAATATATTTATTCATTTTCCTATATAAAATCTTTTCAACACAGAACTATGATTCAAAGAAGTTTTATAAGACGAAAAATGAATAGATTATTCGCAGTGAATGAATGGTTGAGAAATGCTTTATTGAATATGTATAAATTATAAATTTCTAAAAATACACAGAACATTTATACGGCATGATTATTCGTCTGCCGGACATTTTATATGTTTTACAGGTACAGCGCAAATAAAGACTTTATAACAATTACATATACATGAATAACTGATAAATAATAAAACAACTAACACAATATAATATAATAAATATTTTGAGTAATTTATGTCTAAGAAATAATAATAAAGAAAAATATGGGAAACCATAACATGAATAAAACTGACTACAAATAAATTAAACGTATCTTCATTGTTTATGCTGGATGTAGCAAATTAAAACGCTGTATCCACTCATGTCGAGCAAAACCGACAATTTTACGACATTCGTTCACAAAGGGAACATTTAGAAGAGAAATTATCATTTCGAACCGGGGCTAGTTCCTAGAAATTTGATACGAATTTGACCAAGCATTGAACTCAGCCCAAAAATGGAACAGGTCTTCCTTTACTGGTAGGTTACAGAGTGGACAATCCGTATATTCCCTGTCATGTCACGAAATGTAATTCAAATGAAGGTGCTCACACCTGAGCTTGAACAACACACTCAATTCGCACCTAGTCAAATCCCAACAGCAGCTATCCACTAATTTCAAAATTTTAAGACCATGACTCAATTCCCTATACAATAGAAATCGATCAGAATTTAATGCAGTTAATTTACACTGCTCCCAATGTTGCTGAGTGATTGCAGTATTTTTGCAGGTCCGTATTTTTGCTAACTGGTCTTTCCACAACGAAAAGCATTCCGAGGACCCGTCGAACCTACAAGATTATCTTTCCGTCAAATTGCAGTAATTTTTAAATCAAACGATATTACGGTTAATCACTTCAATGGCGAGAACTCTGGAGAGACGACTTTCAGGCAGGCACAGTAACTTAAGACAATACTTAAAATGCAACTATAATGTGAATACCTCAAGTGGATTTGTGGCTGTTTCTAAATAAATCATATTATTTGGTGTCGTTGGAGACAACGAAACCAATTTCTTAGTGAAACTTTTCCAATATGTCATATCCCTGAAAACCGTAGATTTGAGCCGCATAGCATACTATGGAGCGTAATATCGGATCAAATATTTGTTTTTTTTGGCGAATATTGGGATCAGATCTTAAGCAACGAAACTTGACCAATTCCTATTAAGACCCATTTTAGCAGCCGATATACGATTTTTCAAATGGTAAGCAAATGAAAGACTGGAGCTCAGCGTGACACCCAAATATTTATAAGAATTGACTACTTCTATTGGTGAACCCTTAAATCGCCATTTATCTGCAGTAGCCAGTATTCCAGTTTTCCTAAAAATCATAATTTTTGATTTAGGAAGATTCACTGTCAAACTCCAATCATCACAATAGGCTGCCAAAAGGTGTATATTTCATTGCAGTGTAACCCTATCTTCAGCCAGCAGCACAATTTCGTCGGCATACATTAAAATGCAGATATGGATACCGCCTATACGAACTTCTCCTTCATACGTAACAGAAAGATCATCTAAATACAAGGAAAAGACGAGTGGACTGAGGGATCTAGTTCGACGGAAAAGATTCAACAAGGCAAACGACTTATTTCTTGCGCGGAGGCACTGTCCATCAAACTACATATTTTTCCTAATGTTTCTAATTTATGGAGAATATTTAGTATACGAATATTTAGTATAGAAGAGCTTCTAATACAATCAATTAATATGCTTAAAACTCTTTCAGGATCAGGAGGAAAGTATGAAATTTCTTCATTCTCTAATTTCAAGAAATTTTTATGAATATCTGTATATTTATCCACCCAAACCAACCGTGGTAAAAGAAGTAGAAAATTTATTCTGGAATGTCTATAAATGAGATCTCACAAAAAACCGGTAAATGATCAGAAAATCGTTCTGCTAAAATTCTGAAATCAACAATGCATGAAATATGATCTATTGGAAAACAAATAAAATCAATTACAGATTTATCCATCCTACTATTGAAGGTGAATTCGCCTTTAATATCATTAAATCTACCATTCAAAATGATGAAATCATGGTCATCACACAGTTCTAATATTTTGGAACCTCGGCCATTAATGATTCTATCTCTAGCTTTCCTAGATAGGTTGGTTACAATTAGGATTATCCAAAATTAAATCAGAGGGTAGAGACTGAGAATCTGCAATCCTAGCATTGAAACAAATTTAATGTGTGAATTTAGCACTAGAAAAATCCGAGCCCCATGAATCGCCACGTGAATATATGGGCAAAATATACAATTCAATTAGATTTTTAGCATAAATCACTTTAACGTCATCAATATCCACAAATTTAACCTGACATTGTGGTAAATTAGATCTCATTGCATACAATGTACTCCTCCCCCTCCCCATAGCGTGACCAAAATGAGCCTGCCTCGTGGCAGGAATCCAGCACAAACTATACCAATCAAAATATTTACAGTATAAACTAAATTTATCGTCTTTTAAAGTTTCCAACAGTACAAAAATATCATATTTCTTGAGAAATTGTAAAACAGTACAAGTCGGATCATTTAATTTATATTTTAAACCTGCTACATTATATACAATAAGAAAGATTGTTTTAGTGGAAGAAGAGACTTGATGAATATCGTGCCGGCAGACTGGCCTATCTCATTCTTTACTTGATGAAACTGATGTGGTAGCAGTATTTTCAGATACGATTTCATTTGATGAAAAATAATCTTTTGGTAGATCGTTCAACATCTTCACACCGTCTTCATCCCCATACTTCAGTCTTCAGACCAATTAAATCTTTTATTTAAAATAATGAGACGATCATCACGGACAATAACGTTAATTTTACTATTTAAACGTCTGATTTCCTTTCTAAGTAACAGGAGTTTATTTCTTCTCATCCTAGTCTTTTCACCAAAATCTTGGTGTATCATAAACTCTGTTCTTCGCAGGCGATTTAAGGAGTTCATTATTAATAATTTATCTTTATATCTCATAAACGAGACCATAATTGGTCTTTTAGTAGCTGTTGTTCGTCCCAGGGGAAAAGCATACAAAAATTCTTGCTCTAATTAAACTTGTGAAACCTCACTGCAAAAATCGGAAAATAATTTTACAAAAATTATTATCCTGTGAATTATATGTCAATCCTTTAAATATTAGATTGTTTCTGCGATTTTTATTATCTAACTCGTCAACAAGATTTTGAGTCTTAGGCTTTATAATACCGAGAAACTCGGATTTCAATTGCACGTTTTCTTTTTTTAATAAATAAATTTGAAGGTTAAGAATATCTTGTTTGGTGGCAGATGTGAAAGCTTAGAATCAAGTAATTGAGACATACATTCCGTTAACTGGTTCATATTTATTTGACAATTGTCTTGAGAGTTACCAGACGCCATATTTTTATATTCTACAGGATTTTTTTTATTATTACGACTGATACAAGACTCAGGAGAACTTCTACTTCTAATCAAACGGAATGTATTTGTTGACTGTTCTAATTTAGGAGGCATGCAGCAATTAGAAGAAATAAATAAAATATACTCTATGTACTCCTACCTAGTCAAAATGAAATAAAAGATGAAGTTGATTAAGTTATTTCTATTATTCCTCTCGTGGACTTTACCGTAATACCTAATCACCTGTATCCCCACTCCACCTCTCATAAAACCAGTGCACTGATATCCTCGATTATCTTATAACACTAATTCTGAAGAATTGGCTGGACAGATTTCCTTGAAAATTCATATAATGAAGGGAATGTTATTAATAATCACTCATGCAAATTTCCACAAACAACTAACGCTTTTAACCATTTAAATTTAATGCAGTTTTAACAGACCATGTACACTGTACCACAACTGTCGACTAGATTATTCGCGTACGTAAACCGTTGAGTTCGTTTGTCGTCTCCTGAGAACTAGCTATTCTCACATATGATACTTAAACATGGTGGTGACGATATTTATATAAATTTACATATAAATACTTGGAGAAGTATCTAAAGCCTTCAAAGTTCGAACGGGCTAACGGCAGAGAGATAGGAATTGGGAATTTATGTTTAAAATAAAAGATATCTCCTGATTGCTTCAATTATTATAATTAAAACCTTAATATTAGAATCAGAAACTTTTAGTTTGTCACTTATTAAAACGGATCAATTCCTATAATAGAGATCTGGGTGAAAAACACGGCTTATAATAAATTTACTGAAAATATTTGAAAAATCAGCATTTTTTAAATTAATTTTTTTTATAATTAAATCTGTGTTTACGCAATTGGGTTTATGAAAATACAACTCAGATCATACAAAAACATGAAATATAAGTTTTACAACAATTAACTGTAGTCATTTTTGCTGAAAACTGGGGTACCTTTATATGGCAGCATAAAAATAGCATCATTTTTTTTTACAAAACGAGTTAAATCTCAAGAAAAATTTTTAAATAAAAGTTTTTAAAAATGTTTCCCTAAAAAAACTCAATTTAATTATTACGAACTTGAAGCTTATTAAATGATGAAGATTTTGTAATAGTGAGGAAACTGTAGTATAGTTGGATGATGAAAAAAAAAATGACGAATAATTTATGATTTATCTAAAAACAGAACTTAGCTTAGTTAAGCCGCATAAAAGTCCTCTGTAAATGGTTTTAACAATGATAAACTCTACGTTCCTTTAAAGTAAATGTCATCTTGTTTACAACGAAGTAATTATGAATTAATCAAATCAAATATTTCTTTATTTATTGCCTCCGATTCAATAAAAAATACCACTCACTTAAAAAACCACAAAGCTTGAATTTGCTACTTTTCTACTGAAAATTGGCCTATTGTTATATGAACTTTTTTATAGCTCTTGAGTTCTGCTATCACTCCTATAAAAATTTTCCTCTAATCACGGAACACCCTGTATAGTAGAAATATATTAAATACATATAAGTAGAAAAGCGGATGGTGAGGAACTTGGCAATATGTAGTTACACATAAGATAGTTTTATATACATATTATATTATTCTTATTTTAGTTTCGGCTAGAATTATTACTTTCTTGTAAGGACTTGTTGTTCTCAAGGATCTTCGTCTCAGAAATAATTTATTTTCTATTCTATTCTATTCTATTCAATGTATATACCTGGTCATAGGCGCCGCTAGAGGGGAAAGGAAGGCAAGATAATTTCTGTCCCTCAAATATTTTTTGAAGTTGGGCCAGCTCCACCCCCTATAGTGCGGAATCGTTTCCTTAAAATAACTCACAATAATTAGGAAAAAAAAATATTCAAATCCAGCCTGGGCGGGTTAAAATTTATTTCGTGGCGGACCCACGGTATGAATGTTGATCTTCCCACTCTGGTTAGAACAACTCCTTTCTCTCGTCATAAATGGCGAAGTAGGAGTAATGAGAAAAAAACAACACAAAAAGTTCAAAAACCGTACGAGTAATAATTATATTACAAGTAATAAATTGATTAATGGTCTCATCCTTTAAGTATGGCGTTTCATCCCCTCTCCTTCCTACCATCTACTGAACAATGTCATCTTGTTTCACTAACCTTCAATGCCGGGCAACCGAGAGAGGGCGTGATGGCCGAATGCACTAATGCGCGTGCATTAGCTTTGCATGTGTTGCAGGACAACCTGATGGAAGATTATTCCATAAAATAAATTATGAGGTCACGTCCCGGTGCTGGAGTGGAGGAGAGGGGGCTTTCAACTCTCGCAAAAACCTCCCACTCAGGGATGCCCATCCGCCTCAAGGTCGATGGCGCAAGAACCTACGCTCTCCCCTCCTCCCAAGATATTTTATTGCTCATCTTTACTTAAAAACAGAGCAAGATAAGGTAGAATTAGAAAAATCGTAGCTTACAATTACACATGCTGCGGTAAGTTCCACGTTTTTCCCTTTGTCCCTTAGTCCTAAAATTCATAACCCTGTCGAAATTTGCACCCCTCAAAAATTCAAAAACCGCTCAAAAATGACACCCCCTTCTGAACACCCCTACCCACAATCACGAAAAAGGGAAGGAACGGTAATGCCGAGCAACCTGGGTGGGTATACTTCCGAGTGCGCTCGCCACTTCTCTGGAATTAAAAATTACCAATCGTATGAGAATAATTAGCTTTAGCTCTATAATTAAGTAACTGAATCAGAGACATATTGAATGAAATAATATTCAAATATTACATAATTTAAAACACTTTAAGAAATAACTTTATATCTTGAGGAAAGATAACGTCATTTCCAAGGGGCGCCAAATTGTCTAAGACTGACACTACTAATCTAGGCTCCCCAATATTTCCCAAGTACCGGCACCTAATATCATTATTATCATCAAATTATTATTAAAGCAATATTCTAACTAGTACGTTGATTATTTCTGCTGAAAACCAAAATTTATATTTCAAAAACCTCTTACGAGAATAATTTCCCCATATCATAAAATTCCATGAATCATCTCTTGATTAAAGGTGTATAAACTCGATAACTACGTCGAATAGCTTATCAGCTGTTACTTACCGTAAACCTAATTTGCAGCTCTAGATCGGTGAGAGACAATGCCGTAAATGAGTACTGAATGGTCAAGAATCAGCTGTCTACTATCTTTAATAATGTTTACTGCCACTCTTATATCACATAACCAGTTTGCCCCACCATTTAAGATAAGTATATTTGTTGTTTTATTTTAATCTCGATGATTCAGCACAACTTGTCCATAAACAATGACTTGTTTTATAACTACCCTAACTAAATATATAAAACAAATGACTTCAAATTAGAATGACTTTGAATTTTAAGACAACGAAAAATTAGGGCAATAGAATAACAAATTTTGGCATGATGAAACAGATATGGTTTATTAACATGTTGAACTCTGGAGGTTTTCTTCGGATTCTTTTGGAATAAAATGAATTTCCATGAGAATTTGATGTTTATTTTTGCAAGTAAATAAACTTTTACAGAACCTCAACCACTTTATATCAAAGTATCCAACAAACAAAAGCGCTGAATGAAGAGATTATCAGTTACTTTGAATAATAGTAATAAATAAAAAAAGGGATGGAATCCCTTTGACCATCACTGCAAAGCAGGATTATATCTCTGTGACAGTCATTAATACGTTACGTTCGATACCTGGTTCTTCCAATGCCAAACAAATGCCGCGTCAAACACCTTCTATGACCCCGGTTTGCTCCAGAGAACATGAAACCCAGCTAGGTACACCATCACAAGTGACAACTGAAGATTCCCTTTCAAGTACTTCAGAATGATAGAGAGGTAATGGAGTCTACACCGATACCAAGAGACCCCCGACATTCCCAAATATTTGTTTAAAAAATTATTGTGGATTGATGGTTGACTGTAGTAAATAATTGAAGAGAAGGACGGTTGATTAATATTTAGTTTAAACAATTTAAATAATTCAGTTACTATGTTCTCAATTAAACAAACTAACAGACTCTGGAAGCTACTGATGTCTGAACGGAACAAAATATCACCAGATACAACTGAAACCTACAGAAAATAGAAACCAAAGCGGATTTTCATACACATCAATTACAGCAAGAGCGAGCTTTAAGAGTAGTTATAAGAAATATACATCCCTCAACACCAACTGAAGCAATAGGAGAAGAACTGAAAAATTTAAGTTATCAGAGTAGGTATTCCCAAATTCCTCACATTCCTTCTCCACCAAAAACCACAGATCTCACCAGTTTACTTCTTCCCTCTCAGAATTCAAATCTCTTGTAACTCCTTTGATATCACTTCTCACTAATCTTGTAAATATCACATGTTATAATTTCCTTAAAGAATCCTTCAATGTCTTCCAATAAACCTATATCCATTCTCCATTGGAATGAAAATGGTGTTCGAAATCATACAGACGAACTATCTGTTTTACTACTTGAAGGAAATTTTGACGTGGCACTTATTATTGAAACTCGACTAACCACTAAACAGTTCATTAAAATACAGAAATACTTGACTTACCATATTGACCACACTGACTGAAAAGTACATGCCGGTACTGCTGTCTTTGTAAACCGATTCCTCTCCCATCACCTACTTCTATTACTTACACAGAATTTCCTACAATTCCTTAAAATATTTTATTGAAAAATAATCCAATCTGCCACAATCCAGGGCATTGGGTATTATGGCTCTCTATTTAAATTCATACATTTTATATACAATTTATAATATAAATTGAGAAAAAATAAAAGAAAAAGAAAGCATGTAAGTAAAATTATATATATTAAAATAAAAGTAACTTGTAACAATGAAAAAAAAAAAATGATATTGAGAGAACAGCAAAGAAAGGAGAAAAAAATACTTGTCATACATCCATTCCTATGTACAATATTTACATTCAGCCTATGGGGCCCTGAACCATGGCATGCCGGTCTGAGGTGAAAGGCACGACAGGACTCAAATAGATCCCAGCGCTTCTCTCCTAGCCACATTACTGTTTGAAAGCCAGTGGTGACTAAGTAAGAGCGCTACAATTCATCGCTATCGTAATCAAAACATATTCCTTTCCAGAACTGATCCTTCACCATCACTGATCCTAAGCGATCCATATCCAATGCCCAGTTCAGTTCTCTCCTCAACTCCTTAGGACATCACTTCATCCTGGTTGCAGATTTAAATGCCAAGTATCAACAATGGGTTTCAAAAACCACGAATTCTCGTGGTCGAATATTCTTGTCTGCACTCAACGTATACACCTCTTTTCCACCAACTCCCCTACTTACTGGTCCACAGAACTTAACCGTGATCCTGATATTCTTGACTTTTTTATCCACAGCTGATTAGGTCCCTTTTATTGTTCTATGACACACCTAACCAAATTTTCCTTTGAACTTAGTAAACTAATTCTTAATGTGCCTCTAGAACCCGTCCACAAATATCCACCGTCATTTATTAGAAGCTCCGTTAATGGGGAAATGGGGAAACTTTTCCGCCAAATCCTCTCCGACAAAATAGACCTTAACATATCTCTACAATGCCGTCAATTCCTTTACTACCTCAATTCAGCAAGCTGCTTGGACAGCTTCCTCTCAAGCAACTCCCAAAGAATTCCTAATAAAAACAATAAACTCATTATGAAACAATTAATCCATATGAATCGAAGTGCCAAATCACTATGGCAATGAACCAGACATTCCGCTGACCGCTCCAATAATTACTACTGTGAGAAACTAAAGGGGAAATTAGCCGAACCCTTTAACTTTTCCTCGCCTTTCAGGCTATACAGGGATTTTCCCGGACCAGGAGGTGATGACAGTAGATCAATTTCAGAGTTAAAAGCGCTCCCCAGCACCGAGACGCGAACTCGTGATTATTATTTTCCTTTAATTTTCCAGTTATTAGGTTGCCATACACCCCTCGGCCACCCCGCCCCCCTCCCTCCGAATCTTCGACTTCTACCTATCCTCTCTCTCTGTTCGTGACAATTCTATTTGGAAACCTATTAAAATTTTTTTAAATATCAACAAATCACCGATCCCCTTTGGTAAACTCAGGCTCCTGGGCAGCATCTGCGAATATAAAAGCGAGGAGTTCGCCAGACACCTCTCCAATATTTTTTTTCATCCGGAATCCCATCCCACTCGCACCTAAACAGTAGAAGAACTCCTAACATCACCTATGCCCTTTTACCTGCCCCATAAAGCAGTTCATCCTCCCAAAGTCAAATTTCATTTACAAAAACTAATCCTTCGTAAATTTCCTGAATACGACCTCCTCACCGACCAGTTTTATCGACAACTACCATCTAGATCAATCATATTCCTCTTATATCTATCTACGATTCCATCCTATGTACCATCCACTATCCTCTATTATGAAAATATTTCCGGAAAACAAGCAAACCTATAGACCATCCTATACACCAATTTGAACCCTTTTGGAATGAATCCTGCCCACTATAGAGTCCCAAAATCTTCCATCCCATTAGTTTGTTTTCCGCTCACGACATTCTTCGATTCAACAAAGACTTTGCGTTGTTAATCATATTTCATCAGTCCTAGAAAACAGGAATCCTGATTAGGTGCATTTCTGGAAATAGCGCAGGCTTTTGACAAGGTATGGCACACTGGATTGCTCTTCAAGCTTAAAATCCATTTACCCCAGTCCTTGTACCTGTTCACTGTGCTGTGTGAATTTTCCAATATCTATCCGGTTAAAGCCGATATTCCCAAGGCTGCATCTCTTTAATTCAACATCGGTGTAATAATTGTAATATATGTATAATATAATATATTTAGAGTGCTACCATTAGGTAGTTTCTCAACAAATGTTTTCACGTCAGTACATCCATATGTTAAAATTTACTAAATGTATTTCTTTAATACAGTTGTAAATATCATTAAGAAATAAAAAAAATACTTTTTAACTCTATACCACACTCCTTCTTCGATACAGTCCAGTATCTTGGCTTCCTTTCAGATAGACGACTAAAAGACCCTAAACTCAAAAAACAAGAACTTAACCAACGATAGGGCCAACTATACAGATTACTGACTAGAAAATCTCATTTTTCAATTGACAACAAATAACTGTTCTACAAGACAATCCCGAAACCTATTTGGACTTACGGATTATAACTGTGGGGACAGCAAAATTTTCTAATGTCAAACGCATCTAATCTTTTTAGTGCAGTCCTTCGAACAATAATTGAGGTTGAGTTCTATGTAACCAACAAAACCTTACACCATGATCTTAATATCTCATTTGTCCTAGACATTATCTAAGAAAAACTATCCAAATTTCATTAGAACCTTGTATATTTTCTAAATTCTCTTGCACAATCCCTATCTAGCTCTACCTATCCGCCTCGAAAGTTGAAGCGGCAGTGACCCAGAGATTTCTTGTAGATAATCATATATCGGAGTTCTGAAAATGGCCAGAATCTCCACTGAAGTATGTACGTCTGTGCCTCGGCTCAGTCTACACTGGTCTTTAATACTAGTTAGGCTGAGTGAGTGGCATTGGGATCTCCTACGGTCCTAGATATGATTTTAAATTTAAATAATTAGGTATCAACGTTCATTTATTCTGGAAAATCGTCAGATAACCTTTAGAAAATTAAATTAGTCAAAAAGTTGATGAATATTTTCTCTTTGTGAATTCCAACATTATCCAGTTACATACAATTAGTGTGACAACTTTTGATTTCGTAATTTTATTTTAGTAAAATTTACAATGGGAAATAACATTGGAATAAGTAACAGGCGTACAATCCATTACATTTATAGGTTGAATATACAGACATACTTTCAAATCTCTCTAGGCATATATATATATATATATATATATATATATATATATATATATATATATATATATATGTATATATATATATATATATAGGACCACACTGAGGACACCGACCCACTTGAGGTTGAAAAACCAGATATTCTGGATATGGAAATAGCTATCGGCAGGTTTAAAAGAAGAAAGGCTCCAGGTATAGACAACCTACCATCAGAATTGTTCAAGGATGGAGGAGAAGACCTCAGAGCCAAGCTGTTAGATCTAATCCAGAAGATACGGGAGAAGGAATGGATACCAAAAGCATGGAAAACAGGGTTCACTGTCCTATCCTTAAGAAGGGCTGCATGTACGAATGTGGCAATTACAGAGGCATAGCACTTCTTCCGGTCGCCTATAAAATAATGACTAATATTCTAC